GATTTTTCCGTTAAACGCCGATTGTGGAGAGAGATCCGTAACCCCGATGCTGCTAAGTTGATATGTGCGAAAGGAAAATCTGACGTCGCTATCGTCGTGCGCCGCCTACTTCGACCGAGTGTGATGTTCGTTCAAATTGGAGCTTTCGTCGCTTGTTCGCCATGTTGCCGCCTGGTGTGTCTTCGCCTCCGGTGGAGTCTGCATAGTCGTCTCCAAAGCCCTCGCCGTAGCCTTGGAATGCGGCATCGGTATAGCCGCGCTTCGAGCTGGATCGCTCTGGCCTTACTGCACCCCGGTTCATATGGTTGGTCGGTGTTGGTGCGGAGGATGTGAAGGATGTGGCTCGCTGTGGTGGTATTTCCTGTGGTTTGGGTTTTACGGCATCGTCTGTGCCGAGATAGGCCTTGTATTTGGCAGCTTCTGCGTTGGGGAGAGGTCCAGGAGCTGTGCCTGCGAAGGCGTCGTCGAGAAGTCTGCTGAGGTTTGAACTCAATGCTGTGCCGTCTGCTGTCAGACCCTGCTTCTCGGGCTCTCTGTTCTGCACATGTTGCGACTGCCAAATCTCTTCGGGCATTAGCAGCAGATCCCGGAAAACGCCGTCCATCTTAATCGCTTTTGGCTTGCCGGCGATCTGCATCTGCTTGATATGACCCTCGTAGGACTTGCGAAGCTTGTTAATCTTCTCGCCTGTTACCGGGTCATTGCGGGCTACAGTGCTGGCGAGCGGGTTGAGCCTGTAGAGTGAGATGAAATTTTGCGAGGGTTGCGGCCGTGCTATCTCTATCTTCTCGCTGCTGAGTTTGAACAATTGACTGCCGCAAATGCCTTGGGCAGCTTTGAGTCGGCCGTCTTCGGTGTATGGCGATTCGGCTTGCCGGTTGTGGTTGGACAGCCTGTGGTGACGCAACCGCGTCATGTCATCGTCTGCGCTCTCTTCCATCGTCGCATCGCCATCGCTGTCGATATTGGCGCTCGACATGAAGCCGGCAGTGCTCGCGGGGGTCGGGAAGGGGTGCTGGTTGGATGCCGATGTTGCCGACTGGGAGAGCGAGGTGGACATGGGCAGGGAGGATTGCGGTGAGCGGTCCGACACGGCGGAGTTTGTCGTGGGGAAGCCTCCATTGGATTGCGAATTCATCGAGTAGGGTGGCGAGGTGGGCGTTCGAGGGTGAATGAGCGTCTTTGTCGTCTGGCCGCTCGCCTTGGCAGCGACGTCAAAGGGCGGGCTGGCGGGTGAGAATCTTCCTATCGAGTCCAAACGTTGCCGTTTCGCGCTGTGATCCGACATAGAGGCCGTCTTCGGGGGTGGAGCGAGGGGGGAGAGCTCGTCGGCGTGCGTGGAGCGTGCAGCGGTGGGTGAGAGGAGGGCTCGTACTGAAGCGCTTGGCGTCCTCCGCGCGGGTCGACCGCGGCAGCAAGGTGGGCGCGCTACTCGATGGTGCGCATGCGAAGAGAGCGGACGGCGGCGCTGGCGACGATGGGCTGCGGGCGATGGGGCGGGGCGTGGGCGTGGCGGGATGCGCAGGAGGGTTGTGGGCGGCTGAGGGTGCGAAGATGTGAAGGAGATGATGGGGTTGACCGGCGGTTTGGGCTCAGCGCTGTCTCGACTGCTCACGTGACGTGCCGGGGCCCATGGTCCGCCATCTAAAACCGCCTTTCGTGTTAGGGCGTGTCAACCATTCATCGCCGCTGCAACAACAAGACAACCAGACAAAGCATCGCCATACCCTGTGCATCTTTGATGTATGGATGACAACAGGCCGCGCGCCGGTGCCTCTGCTGCGGCCGCCTCACCTGGTGCAGCGCCGACTGCGCGCTCCGAGGCATCGAATCCACCCGCGCCGAGCAATGCGCCCAAGATCCAGCAGCCGAAACCCCAAGCTCTGCCATCGCGATCCGGCCCCAGCGCCATCCTGGTCTCGCCGCGACAGAAAGGCAACCCTATCCTGAACAGCGTGCGCTCTGTCGCGTGGGAGTACTCTGACATTCCCGCTGACTATGTCGTCGGTGCCACAACATGTGCCCTCTTCCTGTCGCTCAAGTACCACCGTCTGCATCCGGAGTATATCTACAACCGCATCCGAGACTTGAAGGGCCAGTACAGCCTGCGCATCCTCCTTACCATGGTCGACATTGAAAACCACGAAGATCCATTGAGGGAGCTATCCAAGACGTCACTAGTCAACAACGTCACAGTCATGCTATGTTGGAGCGCACCGGAAGCCGGTCGCTATCTGGAACTTTTCAAGACATTCGAGAACGCTGCACCGACCAGCATTCGCGCTCAACAAGCAGGCACTTATTCAGAGAAGATGGTCGAATTCATCACCGTACCACGCAGCATCAACAAGACAGATGCAGTAGGCTTAGTCTCTAATTTTGGAAGCATCCGCACTGCAATCAACGCTGGGCCTGAGGAAATCGGCCTAATAGCAGGGTGGGGTGACAAGAAGGTTCAACGATGGTGCAACGCCGTCAGGGAGCCCTTTCGGGTCAAGAAGGCAGCGCGACGAACCGTCGGTCAAGACAGCGGTGCAGCGACCATGTCACGCGACATCTCCATGGCAGAAGGCGAAAGCCAGATGCCGCCGACAGCGGATGCTGATGACACAGCACATCGCAGGGTGGATGACGCAGGACCTCTCGCACTTGAGCTGGAGAGATCCGCTCCTTTTGCAACTTCAGGGTCGGACGCAGACAAACGACCCGATCATCGCGTCGCTGAAGATCTCAATCAGGACGATGAAGAAGCAATGCGTGAGGCAGAACTGGGTCAGGTTTCTCGAGGCAATGAGACTCAACCCTCTGCTCCGCCAGTGAAGCGGAAGCAGGTGGAAGAGGAAAACATGAGCGAAGGCGTCATGGCTGCACTCAGCAAGTTGAGGAAACAATGAACAATGTCCTGCGACACTTTCGAAAATGCAACATGTGACTTTGCCCAATTGATGGGCAACAATCAATCCCTGACGTTCACTTTTCAAAGTCCGTCGTGATCAATACAGTGTCGTTTGCAAGGGCTATCGCGAACAAATTCCATGTGCAGCATGCCGTCATGCGCTCTCTCCTCATTGGTGACCCTACTATGGTTCTCGCCCTGCAGCTGCAGCCTAGCCTGCCCACATGCACCTACTTCACTTGGTAGCAAACACATTCAGCCTTACTCCTTCAGCCCAACCACCATTCCTTTAGACACATCGATAGACCTGCTTCTCATTGTGAGCACGTCAAGTTCAGCCATACACATCGAGACTCTTTTAGCAGCCAAATACTACCAGTCACTATCGCCCAAGATGGGCAATTTCACGCAGTTGCCAGCCGAACTCCAGATCCAGATCTTCGACTACCTCCACGCTCCCGACGTCAAATCCGCGAGAGCTGTGAGTAGAACGTTCCGAAACAATGCTACGCCTGCGCTCTTCCGCAGTATCGTTGCTTGTGCAAGATACCAAGCGCTGGGCGCCTTCCAAAACGTAAGTTCATACCGAGCCCTGGACGTACCTGCACTATCTCTCGTAATGAGGAAGTCAATGTTAAGCCCCATGAATACCTCAATACCACGGTCTGGTATCAAGTAGGTAGAGCGTCGGCATATTTACTAATGACACGAACAGGTATCACTACACTCAATATACTCAGGCTATGTAAGAGAGATCATCTTCGATGGAACACTATACGATGGGCATCTCGCGAAAGACCATCGCAACTACTCGCGAGCCGAAGAGGTCAGCGGCAAATTCCAATCAGGGTCCTTCTACGCAATGCGAACCAGGTGGAAAAGATACCAAGAGCTTCACAAGGAGCAAGAGAGCATGAAGGAGGACGGCGTCTTGTTACAATCATGCGCACGAGGCCTTGAGAACATGCAGAACATCTCGTCCATCGTTTACTCGCCATATCAACACACCATCCCCATGGAGGTCAAGACACTGCGCGATTTGCTACCAAGAGGAGCTCTTCCCCGCACACTCGCCGATAATCGCACCACTGAATATGATCACCCCTTCCGCCAATTGATTGGCGCCATCTTTTTGTCGGATTACACCGGAATCCGGCAGCTCACCATCGAAGCACCTCGCGAAGACCATCGTCGCACTGAGTTCTCTTTGAAAATGTTCACTTTCCCAGACACCAACGATCTGAGCGCCGGGAGACATCTCTTCCGAAATCTGGTTAAGCTAGACATAAGCTTATCTATCCTCAACATACCGAGTCATACAATGCATCCCATGACTGAGATGGACTCCTCTGAACGACAGCTTGAGAACCTGACCAAAGTCCTCGAGGCTGCCCAGGAGCTGCGGCACCTCTCCTTTGGCATACTGAATTGGAGGTATCTTAACGAGCTGATGTGGGATGGGGCCAGCATTCCAGAAGGACGTTCTACCATCGATCTAATCGGCCTTGGGGCAACATGGCCGAAGCTTCGCTCATTGAAGCTCGAAGGCATATACGCCAGAGAGCGCGATCTGTGTGAACTGATCGACCGACACAAGGACACCCTCAGAACTCTCACCTTCGCCAGAAGCACTCTGCACGCAGGTCTATGGATCGAAGTCGTGAACGAGGTTGTTTTCAATGCGTCTATGATCGCAACATTCGTGTTGGACCAAGTCGATGAGAATCACGGCGGATATGGAACCAGCACCAACGGGAGTTTGGAAGGATATGAAGGTCGGTTGATCGTAACCGAAGGTGGAGAACGCGAATTTGTACGCAGCAACCCGATCTTTGGTCTTTATTTCGTCCTGCTAATCATGTTAATGTGTAGGTCAACACGAACCCAGACAAGCACTCGGTTCACGACGCCCGCAATAACGCAGCAAACTCAATATGATCAACGACTTGATCAGCTCTTTACCCATCATTACGCAAATCAATCACTTGGTATTGGCGATTGTTCAAGCATTCCTTCATCGTTGGTAGCATGAATCAGGTATTCGCTAATTGTCATACATTGTTCTGCTGGCTACATACATCCGCATCCTCATTTCTTTGCTCATTCAATGTGATCTAGGCCGCAAAGCTTTAATCTGGTCCTCGCTACGATACGAGAGCCTAGTACCAGAGAGCCGTTGCTCGGCTGCCCTATGTGCAGGACTGCCAACCTGAGCTCTAGACGCCATCACGACCTGTTTCCAGCTCTTTACCCATTCAGGATCTTTGTCTGAGCCTGTCTGTGACAATTCATCATTGTCTTCATCATCGTCTTCATCATCGCCTTCATCATTGTCTTCATCGTCGTCTTCGTCATTCTGCTCTCTCTTGCACTCTTTTAGGACATCGCCTTCTTGCTCCTCTATCTTCCCCTGCGCCTCCAGGCAACTAGAACACGAACCTTCCGAGTCCTGCTCTACCGCCCTCTCCTTCCCCTTCCAGACCTTCTCCTTTACTGTTTCGGAACTTGTCTCAGAGTCTGACTCCGCTTCCTCGTGTGTCTCCATCTCTTCCCCATCTCCCACGTCTGCCTTCTCTTCCTCACCGCCCTCCTCCAACTTCTCTTCCCCATCCCCCACATCAACCTTCTCCTCCTCACCACCCTCCTCCTTCTCCTCCTTCTCCCCAGCCCCCCCTCTCCCACCCTCCTTCCTCTCACCCTCCGCATGCCCCTCCCCCAGCCCACCAATCCACTCCGCCGTCCTCACCCTCCTCAACTTCCTCAACCTCGTCCTCTCCGCATAATCAATAATCTCACCTCCATCCCAACTATAATCTATCCTGCCAATCTCAGCCTGACTGTCTGCTACGCGTCGCTCTTGCCATTCTACCCACCCGTTACTTCCTGGTGCACAGTAACTGTGTACGTCGTCTTCGCGGTGGTGGATGCGTGCGGCGACTGGTTGCCAGGATGTGGGGTGTTGGCGGTGGGGGAGTTGGGATATTTGGACTGGTGGGCGTGCGGTGGTAGTCGTGGTCGTGGTGGTTGTGATGGTTGGGTTTGGGGCCTGAGTTGGTGGTGCAGGGGCGGGGGCAGAGGTAGTTTGCTCAGTTTGAGGCTGGGCTGTGGATTGATCTGAGGTGGTTGGGTTTGGAGATGTTGTACGTGGTGGTGGATTGCTTGTGGAGGGATTTGGTGATCCAGCGAGGGGGGCTGGTGAAGATGGTATTGATGCTAGACTTTGAGAGAGGATGGATGTGTTGGCTTGTTGGAGGGAAGCTCTAGCTGCGTGGGCGGCTCTCCGTGGGCTCGACATTCTGGTTTAAGTGAAGGGTTGAAAGCCTAATGTCGTGACGTTGGGGAAGAGAAGAGAGACTTTCTTGGGAGCCATATTGAATACTGCGCAAAAGGCTATGTCAAGTCGGACCATGGTAGCAGAGAAATCTCCTAGAGAAACATGTGACGTTTAATTCATAAGGCAACCCTGGTGTTGGTGGGCTGAAAGATTTAGCATTAAACCTTGGTACGCTATCGCAGTACCATGTACTATATGACTCCCCCAGCATAAGGACCAACCGCATAATAAACAACAGTCATCAATCGTCAATTCAAGCCCTCTCAACCCTCTCAGTAGCACCCTTGGCGTCATTGTCCACAACAACACTGTGGTGCCTTGCCGGGTCCTTCTCCTCAATGGCCGCGCCTTCAACAACATGGTTCTGACCACCGAAGATGGCGTCCATCTCCTCGAGACTAACCTTCTTAGTCTCGGGAACGAAGAACCAGACAAATGCGGCTAGCAGCATGTTGATGGCGGCGAACATGTAGAAAGCGTAGAAGCCCTCGTTCTTGAGGAAGACGGGGAAGAACTGCTGGACGATGGAGTTTACGACGTTTTGGGTTTGCGAGCACATGCCTACGGCTTGCGCACGGATGTTCATGGAGAAGATCTCGGCGGTGAAGATCCATACTGTTGCGCCCCAGGATGGCTTGTCTGTGATAGTTGTTAGTGCGTGTTGGTGTTAAGATGGTACTGAGAGGGTGTGACTTACAGAAGAGAGCGAAGAGGAACATGAGGAACACGATCGCGATACCCACTGGCTCCGACTTTGCTCCACTGGGAAGAGTAGGTGTCTGTGTCTCCACAGTAGCAGCGATAAGCATGCAAATGCCCATACCGATACCACCGACGATGAACAGGAACTTGCGTCCAAAGCGGTCGACAGTCCAGGTAGCGTTGAGGGTGAAGATGATACTGAAAGTAGCGTTCAAGGCGTTGATCAGGGAGATGGTGTCGGCGCTTGTGAAGACCTTCTTGTAAATGATGGAGCTGTAAGAGTTGAGTGTGCCCTGTCCAGTGATCTGCTGGCCGCCATTGACAATCATCGCAATGTACATGCGCTTCCTGACAGACTTGTCCTTCCACAGAGCAGAGAAGCCGGAGGAGATTGCTTCGGCTTCGAATTCGATAGCCTCGCGGATAGTGGTGATCTCATCCTCGACATCCTGCTCGGTGGCACGGACGCGGCGGAGCGAACGGCGAGCCTTTTCGTAGTTGCGGTTCTTCTGGACGTACCAACGTGGCGACTCCGGGATGAAGAAAACTTGGGAGAGGATAAGAATGGGCACCATCATCTGGAAAATGACCACCATCTTCCAATCCCACTCGCCGAGTTTCTGGGGGTTCTTGGATGTACCGAAGGAGATCCAGTATGCGATGAAGGAGCCAACGGAATAGAACATCTGCCAGAATGACATGATCTTTCCACGGATCTCAGGGGGCGAAAGTTCTCCAATGTAGATAGATCCAGCTGTCAATGCGAGACCTTGTCCGATACCGATGAGGACACGACCAGCGATGAAGACACCGATTTGTCCGCGGGGGGCGAATGTTTGCATGATGGTCGCGATGATGACGCATACAGATCCAGCAGCCATACCAACTCGACGGCCAGCGAAATCAGCGAGGGGTCCAGCCTATACACAGCAAAGTTAGTACACGTCTTGCGTGCTGATGATATACAGACGTGACGTACCATGAAGAAACCAGCTACGACAGCACCGACTGTGTATGATGTGTTGATGGCGCCGATGATGTTAGGTCCGGGGTTGTTGTAGTAGGCAATCCAATGCTTCGAGTTTTGCAACGCGTTGAAGACGGACGCATCGTAACCGTAGAGCACCATGCATGATGCTGCAACGAGCGAGATGTACCAGTTGTACACCCTGGTTTTGTCGACCATCTTGACGGTAGTCACTCAGGATTTCTCCCAAAACGAAAGTAACAATAGCGCTCGACTTGGTAGCGATTGACAAAGGCGTCCAGCTCGAATTCCGCAACGGATACAGCGAGAGATTCGTAGAGCTCTGGAGTGGAGAGCAATCAGCGGAGACTGCGATGGGCATATATACATGCCACATGAGAAGCCACACCCTGTGGATTACTATCTTGCCCCATGTCAACCCCATGGGCTCGGGGAAGCGCCAGTTCCAGCACCCAGGATCCGATGCCTACGCCGCTACCAGACGCCTCTATCCAGAATATCACCACGAATCAACATGCCCAGACCGCCTCCAAAGCTTGCTCTAGTGCCAAATGCATCCACGCCTAGCACTCCGTTCTCCGTAGTCCCTGAATCTGGGGAATCTGGGGCTTGGGACGGGAGTGTCAATGGAGAGATTTTGTCCATCTGATGGACGGAGAGGCGTCGTCGAGTTTTTCCACGAATGGGCGTAATAGAGCTAAGTGTTGAGGCGCCGTTGTTTTGAGGAGAAGCGAGACCGACTCATGCCGAGATGGTGTTTAGTGCAGCATCTAGCCCGTGAGTAGCTAGGTTTGCCGGCGACAATGTCGATAATGGGTAGAATTTCCTCGTGGACGCAAGCATGCCAAGTCAGAGACAAGGGAGACGCAGCGAAGCAAAGCTTTTGGCTGCCGCCTGGGCTCTCTTATTTTGCGATTTATTGATGCTTAAAACTGCGAGAGTGGTCCTTGAGAAGCGCATGTGTGGCGCCCGGTGCCATAGTCGAGTCGCAGAGACCTCGGGAGTGTCTGGTCATTGTGGACGACTTCATGTTGTGAACGGAGAGTAGGTATCACATGAATCATGCTAGAGAACATCGCTTGATAGCCAGCTGTGGAGTTCGGGTGGGTCGGCACATTGATTGCGGGCGGTGACCATCATATCGCATCCTCCAGAGATGGGCACGCGGGGAGCCAACGATCGAACGAGCCTAAAGCCAATGTGCCCCTAAGATGTTCTCGGGCAACACCACGCGACGCGCATGTGTTTTCGGTGATGAACTGTTACAGGTGCATATGACATGCCGCGGTATCCCGGGTCGCTAGATGAGCCTCATCAGCGCTGAGATGAGCTCCAGCTTCCCCAGCTCTGGGGCCAGCACGTGATCGATCACGTGTGTTCATCCGCCACAGGTTTGTGGCTGTGCGCATCCCACTTTTTCGGGCGTCGAGACCCTTTCCCACCGCCCGCGACCGCCTAACGTTTTCGACGCCCGACCAAATCTTTCGACTCTCTCACCTACACACCGAAGACCGGGCTACCAAGACAACCGATTTTTTCAAGATGCCTTCAGGACAAGGAGGTGAGCGTCATAACCTTTGCGCAAACTGAAGCGGGGTCAAGGCTGACAGAATACCATAGCCGGTACAAACCCCATCCACAACAAGCAGAAGAAGAAGAAGGCCGTCGAGCTCGACGAGGATGACCTTGCCTACAAGCAAAAGCTTGCTGCTGGTTCGTACCGCCCTACCCCTCGTTCTCCGACGCCTATACTGCGACCTGTCCCGAAGCGCCACCACAAGGCTCCGAAGAACAAAGACAGATGTGCTGATGATATACAGAGAAGAAGCAGCGTGAGGACCTAGCCAAGACGGTCGGCAAGGGCAAGGGACCGCTCAACACCGGCTCTCAGGGCATCAAGAAGTCCGGCAAGAAATAAGCGCCCGACATACCCACGAGCGAGCGAGCAAGCGAAGAGACACGGCAGTGCGGCAACGACGACGATTTGACATGAAAGATACCACAGGCTGAGAGTCATGACTTGGCAGGGCGTTCATATACACATACCATGAATGCACAGGAATGAGCTATCAATGACCTTTGCGCATGCCAGGTGACTGTTTTCTACGTCTTCGCTACTTGCAATTTAGGTCGTCGCACACTGCAGACGTAGTTTACCTCCTCCCTGCCTTCATGTTTACCCCTTTCAGATTAAACACCGTTTCCGCGTTCCCCCACGCAACTCTGTCCCACTCCACCTGTGTCAAGAACCCGCTCTCCCTGAGTTCCTCCATCAACTCTTTCCCTCTTTCTTCAAGCGGGTAGTTGCTCGCATACAACACCCTGTCTACGGGTATCCGTTCCAGTAGCGCTCTTAGACTCGACATGTCTTGTGCGTCCGCTGTCGTGAGGTAGATGTTGTGTTGCCAGACATCTAGGAAACTTCGCTTCGGTTTATCTGCAGAGGGGATAGTGGTGAGCAGCATCTCGATGCGTGGAATGAGCGAGGGTAGCGCGCCCGGATGCGCGAGTATGAGACGGAGAGCAGGGTGGCGGTCGAAGACGCAGCTGAGGTAGAGGTGTAACAGCGGGAGAGGAGACGTATTTTGCGACGAATGGATATGTGTCAGGAGAGGCGCGTATACCGAAGAATGGAAACTGTGTTGGTAATCCGGTATCTGCGCATGTCAGTCTACATGCTTTCCCTTCCTCTTGATATCTGAAGAACGGAAAAGCAGCATACCTCCGATCCCACCGGCCACATCTCCCGCAACAGAATCGGCACTCGATACCTCTCCG